ATGGCTGGGTCGTAGGGTGGTTCTATTTTTAGTTTTTTGAGGAACCTCCATACTGCTTTCCAGAGTGGCTGCACCAACTTGCATTCCCACCAAACATCTTTTTTAATGTTTATTTTTGAGAGAGAGAGACAGAGAGAGAGAGAGAACAAGCCGGGAAGGGGCAGAGACAGAGACAGAGACAGAGAATCCCAAGCAGGCTCTGTGTGGAGCCCGATGCGGGGCTCGAACCCACAAACCATGGGATTATGACCGGAGCGGAAACCAAGAGTCAGATATTTAGCCGACCGAGCCACCCAGGGGCCCCCAAAGCGCAAACTCTTAATGGAGCCTCTGCCCGTGTATCTAGTGCACAGCTGATTCCCCAGCTTCACCTCATTCGTTCATCCATCACATTTCTGGAGCTCCTACAGTGTGCCAGGCACCATTGTAGGCTCTGGAGATAGATTAGTCAGCAAAGACCCCTCCCCCTGGGCACTGATGTTCTAGTGGGGGAGACACATCAGGTGCTTTGAGGGAAATGAAGCGGGGTCGAGGCAGTTTTTATTACCCTTACGGTGCTCAGGGGGTCTTTGCCTAGCTGAGCAAAGAGCTGAGCAAAGACCTGAACGAAACGAGGGAGGGAGCCATGGGGACATGTGGGGAAGAAGCATTTCAGGATGCGGGAACCAGTGCAAAGGCCCTGAGGTCGTCTGGGGAACAGTGGGGAAGCCAGTGTGGTCAGAGCAGGGTGAGCCAAGGGGAGAGGGTGGGGGATGAGGCTAGAAAGAGGATGAGTGCAGATCGTGCGGGGCCTTGAGAGTTTCTTTTCTGAGTGAGGAGGGCCGCCGGAGGGCTCTGAGCCGGGAGGAGGGACCTATTGGCTGTGTTTGGGAACAGACCGTGAGGGCAACTGCAGTCCTCCGTGCGGGCAGGTACCGGTGAATTAGACAAGATGAGGCACTGCGGGGCTCAGACGTGGTCTGTTGGTGGGTATATTTTGTAGATGGAGCCGACAGGGTTTCCTGATGGACCGCGTGTGGGGGTAGAGGACGAGGGGCGACGTTTAGGTGGAAACACCCCTAACCCCACAGGGGCTGAACCATCCTGTTCATTCATTCAGAATTAGAAACAGATTGGGGGAACTTCCAGAGGCCCCTGGGTGGCTCCATCGGTTAAACGTCCGACTGTTGGTCTCGGCTCAGGTCATGATCTCGAGGTTCGTGAGTTCAAGCCCCGTGCCGGGCTCTGTGCTGACAGCGCGGAGCCTGCTTGGGATTCTCCATCTCTCTCTCTCTCTCTCTCTCTCTCT